TTTCGCTAAATGGCCTTATGATCAATTGGAATAAAACTAAAGCTATGCTGTTCAATGATCATGGTAATGGTGGTTCTCTTAATATTACTGTGGGTTCTGTGTTAGTGAAATTTGTTGATGAAATGAAATGTCTTGGTGTTATAATTGATCGGAAGTTGGACTTTAAGAGACACATTGATTCCTTGCTTTGTCGCATAAGGTTTCAGCTGCGGAGGCTGTATTGTCTTAATGCTTATTTGCCTTGTCATGTTAGGAAGAGAGTGGTTGTATCCTTGCTGCTATCGCAGGTAAATTATTGTCTAGAGGTAGTCTCTGGTACTACTTCTTCTCAAATGCAACGTATCCGTAGGGCGGTAAATTCGATTGTTCGTTATGTGTATGGCTTGCGTCGTGGTGATCATGTTTCTTGTTTTGTTAATGATCTCCTGGGATTGCCATTTAGCAGCTACGTTGATCTTCGTATTCTTCAATTTCATTACAGTGTTATGTGCAATTTTGACTCGCCTCTTCGTGACAACTTTGTGTTTTGTAGATCATCTCGAAATCCTCAATTGTTGTGTCCAAGGTTTTCGTCCTCCATTGGTGAGAGATCATTTGTGGTTAGGGCGGTGAGATTGTGGAATCAGCTTCCTTTGGCCTTACGTACTTTTGCCCATACCAATTATCTGTTTAGGGTTAAAGTAATTGAATACCTTCGCCTTAATATGTAGGCTATGTTTTTGTAGTGGTTGCGTCGGTTTATTATGGGTTTTTCTTTTTGCTTTTCTTTTTGTTTGGGCTGGGGAGCCACTATATTATCTTCTTAATTTTATTTGTAGGGTATAATGTGAGTTACTATTTATACTCTGTTTTGTGAGTAATAAAATAGTTATCTCTTATTTTTAGCTCGTTTCTGCTACACTTTTTCACTGCTCTACTAGACTATTGTTTAGTTGGTGATGGTGAATGGTGTAGGGTTCGAGCTTCTCGTGAATTATTAAGATAAATTATTAGGTTTAATATGTTATTTGTTAAGTTTGAATTAATCATTGAATTTGTATTATGTTAGGGTATTGTAGATAGATAATATAAGTTATGGGCCCTGTGGGCTTATTTATATTTCTTTGTAAGGTAAATAAATGAAATGAAATAAAGGAATATACTTGAAATCGGGTTGTTCCGTTATCAGGGGTTATGATCCATATCATGACCTGGCAAAGCGATTAAAGGTATCTTGAATGTTTAGGTAGAATTTCTATTTTGCGTTCTTTATAGTCGGCGTTTGACTGATTGCAGTCCCAATGTATTTTGCATTTTGTGTTCTCATTTGACAATTTATTGAAAGAAGTAGGTCCACTTTTTGAAATTAGCCCCATAACGCTTCTTTGGTCATTTTTGTTTGTTTAAATGTGTTCGCATCTTCCAGCTGAAGCACGATGTAGGTCCTGGAGTAGAAAGCATTTAACATCGTATTGCGCCCTCATTTCATTTTTAATACTATTCATTCAGAATTCAAACCAATAAAAAAATGTACACTTCAATATAGAAAAAAGAAAAAGAATCTTCAACTGGTTCGCTGATTTTTTTTTTTTTGCGGCAAATTTTTAAAGGTCCTTACGAAATTTGTCGGTAGAATGTACTATTATTTTGAAATTAGATTCCATTGAAAAATTGTCGATTTTTCTCGATTTTAGAATTTTCATATAAAGCGACAACGAATAAAATTGTTATTTATAGATTTTATGTATTTATTCGGTATTACGAATAAATACATAAAATCTATAAATAACAGTTTTATCCGTTGTGGCTTTATATGAAAATTCTAAAATCGAGAAAAATCGACAATTTTTCAATGGAATCTAATTTCAAAATAATAGTACATTCTACCGACAAATTTCGTAAGGACCTTTAAAAATTTGCCGCAAAAAAAAATCAGCGAACCAGTTGAAGATTCTTTTTTCTATATTGACCAAAAAAAACCTACACATCATATTAGAATTAAAAAAAGAAACACTACAAATGTACATTCGAAAATAGTAAGTCAAAATGGAAAAAAATATGCAATATAAAACATTACTATTGTACATTTTAAAAGTCGAAATGAAAATGTTCAAATTTCACATTTTTACGCGATTTTGTTGGATTTTATTCTTTTCTGCCAAGAGGCAATTCCGAATTTGTCTTAATCGTTAAAATCAGACCGGCGGTCTTTATGTTATAAGAGTAGTAACTAACACAACTTTCTTTTACATATAGAGAGATAGATTTAAAAGTAGGCGCGTTTCTCAGCCCCTAAATAAGTACTTAGGGTTGGATGGAAAGCCAACAGCATCTCGTGTAATAATTCTGAAACCGATATCTTCACTATTTTGGCAAATATAAAGATTTTAGATAAATCGAAATAGTGGGCGTAAAAGCAGGTGTGGTCAATATTTTTTTCTTTAAAAACCTAACTCGGGGTATGACAAACGTTTGTACAAAAAATTATGCAAATCGGTCCAGCCGTTTTCAACTGATTCCGTTACCAACAAACAACAATTGATTTTTATATATATAGATTCCTTATCAAAATAGAAAATTCAAGTTTTTCAATTCCGCGATTTTTCTAGAGGCTTTTCTCAAGACTTTCTCTTATGAAAACGTTTCCACTATAATTACAAATAACCAAAAGAAAATTTGAGTCAATTCGGCCAAGCAGTTCTCAACTGATGTGTTACTATGTTTTTTAAATTGTATACATAAAAATTTAAAGAAGTATGTGTGACCAGTTCCTCTGACCCCAAACTGATACCTAGGGTTGGGGGGAGAGTCAAGAGTACATCATATACTAAACTATGGAACAAATATCTTCATTATTTTGACAAATATTAGGATATTAGGTAAATCGAAAAAAATGGGCGTAAAAGTAGGCGTGGTCACTTTTTCTTTGCACAAAAACCAAAATCGGGGTAGGACGAACATTTAAAAAAAATATTCAAATCCCTCCAACCGTTCTTGGCTGATTCGATTACCAACGAACAACAATCGATTTATATATATATAGATTAAAAAGTAGTCGTGGTCAATTTCTCTGCCCCAAATAAATACTTAGGGTTGGATGGAAAGTCAACAGTATCTCGTGTAATAATTTTCAAACCGACATCTTCATTTTTTTCAAATATAAGGATTTTAGATAAATAGAAATAGTGGGCGTAAAAGTAGGCGTGGTCAATATTTTTTCTTTGAAAATTTAACTTGGGGTATGACGAAGGTTTGTACAAAAACAAGTTAAAAAGCAGTAAGTTAGAACGAATTTGGAAATAAAATTCTGAAAAAAATTTGGTTAAAATTTTAAAAATACCGAATATAGGGAGGTACTGGTATATGGGGCCTATACGAAGACTTGGACCTGCATAGACAATTTTCTGTCACAGACTGTAGTTTCCATGACAAACTCTAAATGCGTAATTTGGAAAAAATTTGGTGAATAAAGACGCTAAAATCACCAAAATACCGAATATCGGTAGGAACCGTTATATGGGGCTATACGAAGACGTGGACCCGCATAGACAATTTTCTGTCACAGACTGTAGAATCCATTGCGAACTTCAAATACCAAATTTTAAACAATTTCGATTAATAATGTCGCTAAAATCATCAAAATACCAAATATCGAGAGGTACCGTTATATGGGGGCTATACGAAGACAATTTTCTGTCTTATGCTGTAGTATCCATTTCGTACTTCAAATACCAAATTTGAAACAATTCCGGTAAATAATGTCATTAAAATCATCAAAATACCGAATATCGGAGGTACTGTTATATGGGGGCTATATGAAAACGTGGACCTACATGGCCCATTTACGAACTTGCCTACTGAATAAATAAACATGTGTGCAAATTTTTTGCCTTGTATCTCAATTCGTTCGAAAGATAGCGTGATTACAACAGACATACGGACAGACAGACGGACATCGCTATATCGATATAGAATTTTACGCTGATCAAGAATGTATATACTTTGTTGGGTCTGACATGAGTATTTCAAGGAGTTACAAACGGAATGACAAAGTTAATATACTCTCCATAGTATGGTGGAGGGTATAAAAACAAGTAAAAAACTTTAAATTCAGCCGGGCCGAACTTTTAGTACCCTCCACCTTAGGTTAAAACAATCATTAGAACCCATTGTGACCCACAAATATCAATTTTTAGACATATTCGTGGGAAATGTGACAAAAATCATCAAAATACCGAATATCGGGAGGTACCATTATATGCGGGTTATACCAAATCGTTGACCTATGCTCGCAATGTTTCACCACCGGAGCTAGAGCCCATTATGACAAATATCAATTTTTAGACAAATCCGTGAAAAAATGTGCAAAAATCATCAAAATACCGAATATATGGGGACTATACCAAAACATGGACCGATATATCTCATTTTCAATACCAACAATCCCAGACTCAATATAAATTATTCTGCTAAATTTTGACGCTCTACGTCAAATAATATGGGCTGTATGGTGATTTCAACAGTCAAACGGACGTCGCTAAATCGACTTAGAATTTTATGCTGATTATGAATATATATTCCTTATGGGGTCTACGACGAATATTTAGGGATGTTACAAACAGAATGGCAAAGTTTATAACCCTCCTTTCCAAGGTGGAGGGTATAAATAATCGGTCCAGCCGTTCTCAACTGATTCCATTACCAACGAAGAACAATTGATTTATATATATATATATATATATATATATATATATATATATATATATATATATATATAGATTTATAAGTTTTCTACTTGGAATTGAGTACATTATTAACACTTTTAATTTGTTTTGGATTCTTTAGTATTAAGAATGAATTGAATAAAAGAAAAACAAAAAATTTAAAATAGCTTTGTAAAATATGCCACTCGTCATACGTAAATATTGTAGAATAATTTTATATTTGAAGCCGTAATTGTCAGAAAAGGGTTGCCATATTCGGTTTAACAAATGGGTCGTCCTCTATTTTTTACCATGAATAGTATAATGAAAAAATATTGTTCGTTTTATATTTTTTGGCATATAACTTTGATACTGGCTCTAATTACAATAAAGGAAAAATTCTATATAACTGTTACTCAAAAGTATTTGTCATAGTTTTGCCTATAAATTCTGTTAATTATAGGTACCAAGAATTTGATGGAAGAAAAATGTTATTTTGTCAAAATCAAAATTTGAGAAATTGCTAGACTACCTTTCTTATTCTGCCAAATGTAAAAAAATCCAGCCACTCTATTCTAATTTAAAAGTATTGACAATTCGGAAAATTATTCGGAGATTATTATCCTCAGAACTGTCCACCCATGGCGCATGGCCTATGAACTTTTCTCTGTAGTAGAAAGTGAAGAAATTTTTGTTTTGTCACATATAAGAACTAACAAGACTTGATCGATGAAGCGGGCTTTGGAACTGTTGCGCGAATCAGAATATCTGAAGTCATATTGTCAGGGTGATAGCATTGTTACTTACGCGAAGTTTCTTAAAAATGGCCGTATATTTAAGGAAGAGTTGCGCAATAGTTGGAAATTGCTGGGATCATGTTCAAAATTAGAGCTAGAAAATATAACTATCCCTGTGGAGGGAAATTGTCTATCATTTTTACAATATCAAAACTTTGCAAAATATTTTCACAAAGAATTTAAAAGTAATATAAGTCAACCAATTGTGTTCCAAAGAATCAACCTCGATCCGAAACGAAAGCAGGATTCACTTTTGCAAATAAAATCGTCCAATACTGTTAGTTTAGTCCGTGATTACTTTATCCATTCGTCTCGTGCACGTGACACCTACTATAATATTCAGCGGGAGCGCAAAATATGGTGGATGCGCTACTCTGCCGATCCTAGTCGTTATGTTGTAGGAACACTTGACCCATCAAAATATATCGAGGGCTGTCTTGAAAATTATTGTCAGGCCGTAACGATCAAGTCGCTATTTTCCGACGACGCTATCATAATGGAGACAATAGTCTGGGCAGAGCTAAATCCGACAAGGAATGTCAATAATATTTCAAATATTGGAGTCTCAGTTGTTAGATCTGTTGTTGATTTAAATTTGGCAACGATTGGTAAGTGATAAATTTTATTGCATAAGAAATTTCTTGTGTCCACACGAATCTTTCTAAAAGTTTTCACTGGTACTCCTTGTGCCTATTTACAAATATACTCCCCAAAAACGTTTTGTATATATCCTTGGTTTTACTTCGTTTTTAACAGATAAACGCAATGAGTTCGAACAAGTACCAAATTTTTAACCAAGTAGCTTAACGACATTTACCTACATGTAAAACCTCGAATTTTTCGAATAAAAAATGTGTTGATTCAAACAATAGTTTTCTTCTTTACGTGAGGAAATAAAGTGTTGTCGACTGAAAGTTCTGGAGGGATACTGTTCTGTTTTCTGCCAATGTGAATTACAGATGATTTTGATGGTGACATTTTAACCCCAGATTTGTTTGTCAATTTGGCTATTTCCTGTATAAATAAAGAGAAAAAATTGTCACATCATTACTTTTACTTTACTAGGTCGTCAGCATATAGGCAATGAAAATGTTGAATTTATTATATCATTAGTGCTTTTGTTACGAAGTGGTCAATGTGTCCTGGAGCCTTTGCACAATTTTGCTGTTCTTTGTTCGCTGGGTGTAACGAACCATGATAGCTTTTTTGAAATAATTCGTTCCATTAGCGAAATTGACCAGTAACCGGAAAAGTTAATTGGGTCAGTAAAGTGGGTGCTGTTTACATTGATTACAGGTATAGTGTGTGTAGTGTTTATTCAAGATATTTTGCTCCATACAATAGAAAGTTTTGAAAACTTGTTGCTTTTTCTTTCTATTTTCATATCTAAATTTGGCATAGCGTACACAAGTATACAACTTCCCCACTATCGTAAAATGTTTTGTTCGTCCGTATTCGTCCGTATAGCCAAATACGTGATGTCCATGTCTTAAAATCTACCAAATAATAACGTTTTAAAAATTGATACTTTCTAAATTCACCCAACTGTAACATTTTCCATATTTGTTGTATTTACCTCATTATTCAACGGACTTATTTTATATTTCTTCACCAGCCTTATGAAATGTTATAATCATATAGTAGCCTTAGATAAACAAACTATATTTGAATACAATTTTCTTCACTTAATTCTGATTACCTGAATTAGTTATCTTATTCTACCACTTCCACCTTTACATCAGGTTATGGACCTTTTGTATCGTTTATCGTAAAATTGTTACGCGGATTACAACAATATATAATTCAATATATATAATTTCATTTTCTTCTGGTTTAAAATGTCTGTTTTAAAAGCTACGTGGACGTAACATTTCGATGTATGGAGAAGACATGCGAAGTCTCATCAATTACGGTCATATTGCAAAGCTAAAACGGCAGAAGAGGTTTGGGATTCTTTGTTAAGCGCATACGAAGACAATGGATTGACCTGATAAGTGGAACTCTTGAAACATTTGGGTTAACTAAAGCCTGGTGATTTTTCTTTAATGCAATTCTGGAGGAAATAATTGAAATGAATTGTCAAATTTTCCGGAAACAGGAAAGCATATCTCCCCAAAAGAATTACCAGCGATTAGAGAACCGGCAGTAACTCTACAAGCGGTGGTGATATTTTTCTGGAAACTTCTAGGAATAGTAATGCTCATAATGAAGAAACTTTATGATAACCAATTCCGGAAAGTGCCAGTCTTCGACTTGCCGAAAGGATTGCTAACTGACCTAAACGTTCTTTGGATTTAGTGCAATGGAATTCGTACTTGATCATCCGATTAATATAGCAGAAGTAAATACATCATATTCCGAGGAGTTGAATCAATCTATGAAAGAAGAATACGAATCGTTAATTGCCAATTGATTTAGCTGCCAAGTACAGTTTGAAAATGCTAAAAAATGAATGCGGTTACAGCTTCTTTAAACGGCACTCGAAAGGAGGAGATCCATATGGAACAGCCCAAAGGTATGAATGATGGAACTGGTAGAGTTTGAAATAGCAAAATTTTCTTACAGGAGGGTTAAACATTATCCGATGCCGATCAATGCATTAATTAAAGAGTGCAAAAGAATGAAATAGCATAGATTGCAATTTATGTAGATGAAGTGGAAATTTTTTGAAACAAATACATTTATATTCAACGTATTAAAAAGACGTTAAAAAATAACTTTAGAATGCAAGACTTGGGCGAAGCATCTTTAATGTTGGGAATCAGAACTACTCAAAACGAAAACTCAAGCAAAATTGATCAAGCAAAGTATTTTAAAAAAGTTCTTAAGTGTTAGACTGCAGCCCAATAAGAACTCCTGTGGATTGTGATAAAAAAAAAGATATTGCGACAATCCTGGAAAAGGTCACTGGGAAGCATGTAAAAGGATGATGCGTTATTGAAAAGAATTTTGAGCAATGGTATTGTTTATACTAAAGGTGGCAAAGAAATGGCTGGATAATGCGACGCTGATAATGGCAGTGACGTCGATGAAAGACGTTCGACAACTAGATATGTATTTAATTTTCAAAGTGGTGCTGTGCCCTGTGCCCAAAAAGAGAGAAAACTGTACTGCTCAACAGGGTCTTCTTTCCCCGCTAATTATTCCAAGCCCGTTCCCTTGGCTGTGGTTTCACTCCAAATTGCACGACTTCCAATTTTGTTTCCTGGGTGCTGCACGAATTTCCGTTATTAGACAACATTTTCCATCGGATGCAGCAGGACGAGATGCAATGAATTTACATTGAAGATTAATAGGTTGTCACGAGAGCACAAGAGGATTTGAATTTTTTTCACCGTTGAAATTGATATGACTGAGTAACAATTAAATAACGGATTCCTGGATAAACTGTTCTACATGCCGTTTTCGCCTATGTCAGTTGAAAAGAACCTTGAGACACAAGGTTCCGCCTGGGATATATTATTCGATGACTAACGCAAAACAGGATGTGCTATAGAATGTTCTTGTCGACTTTTATATACTTAGCCACGTTGTTTGTGGACGTCGAATGTACTACTTTCCGACCAAAATTTTTTCCAACCATAAACTACTCCAAAATAACATTTGATCTCGCAAACAACAACTATCTGCGATAAATTGCATTTGAAGTGTAAGTTAAGATACCTTGTTGACCTCTAATTACGTCGGCCTAAGTTAGCTACGCGGATCTGGAAACAAGTCTCTCATAAAAATTTAAAGTTTTAGGAACAGATAAAAATGGGGTATAAATTTTTATTTATATGTTGTTTACGTTTTTTGAAGTTCTTTTCATTTACATATTTGCGGTATACGGTAATGTAAAAAAATCAGAACAATTTCAGCTGAGCATATATAATAAATTAAATTTTAACTTTTATTCAATCTTTAATAGGCTTGCTCCTGGACAGCGCAGCTCATGGACTTGAAAGAAATGTTCTGAAAGTAAATCAAAAACTTGCTCCATACCAGTGCCTCTTAGTGCCTTATGAAGGTAATTTAATAACATATTTCATCTTACTAACTATTAAACAAATTATAATTTATTTAATTTTAAACATTTTTTATAGATGATGACGCCATAATTGAACTTTGCAGTCATCTACAACATGTTTTGCAGCGTTCAGGACTTAGAGTGTACAATTTAGAGATTAGTACTGCTAAAAATATTACTAGTATATTAAGTAAGGCTGATTTACTGGGAATTCCTTTTACCATAATAGTGAAGAAAGTTGCCTTAAAAACAGGACTTTTGCGGTTGCGAAATCGAGACACTACCCTATCGGAAACTGTACATATAAGTGACTTGTCGCCTTACATAAATTCAATTTTTAAAGAATGAAAATAAATTTATTATGAATAGTTGTTAAGTGTACTCTGATTTTTAAAGTATAATTTAAGGTATACTCATAGCACAATTACAGAAGGCAAAGCAAACTTCTTAAGTTCAACGGTTTTATGTTAAACATATATTGCAATGTTTAAGATAAATGTACTAAACCCAAAAAATAATAAAATGGATACAGTCGTGGGAATTACAAACATATGCATAGACTAGACTAAAATAAAACCGTGGGGCACGTCAATTATCTACAATCGTTGATTAAAAAGTTTGTTTTGTAATGTTACACTATAATTAGGCAGTTGTTCAACCAACAGCAATGGACGCGTAAATGGGTAACAAATTGTACAATTTTGTGACAAAACTGTATTGTCCAACTATTTTAGATTCCATCTTGTGCAATAAGAATTTTGTTAAAAAATAAAAATAAACAATAACATGCATATTTAAAAGTCTATTGAGCAATGGGTATACTTAACTACTTTCACATTTTTTGATTTGCTGACTAGAAATAGAAATAGGTAAAAAAAACTTTTTAAGTTAAAGGGTTTTATGTTAAACATATATTGCAATGTTTAAGATAAATGTACTAAGATCCAAAAAATAATAAAATGGATACAGTCGTTGGAGTTATAAACATATGCATACACTAGACTAAAATAAAACCGTCAATTGTCTTAAAAGTGTTTTTACCTATTTTTTTCTAGTCTTTAGTTTTTAACCTAGCCTCATTTTGCTCAGGTGTTTTGACGCTAATTGTTCCCGTCGTTTCACCTTCACTTTCTTTAGCTCGTTTTGCTTTATAATTTTCATTCGCTGTTTGAAGCCTTCGTTTACGTTGTGTTGCAGTTTCTGTTTTATTTGTGTTTGTATTTTTTGTACCATTTTGTTCTCATTTTGTACAACAAGATGCGCCTGAGTCTTGAGGGGAAAACACTTACGACATATAATTTTTATCCACCCTAAAGCCATACAGTTTTCGGAGCGGTGTACCGCTATCATTTTTAGCCACCCTAACGCCACACAGTCCTTAACAGGCTGGATTAATCATACCTAACTTACAGATGCAATATGCTCAACCACTAAATGGCGTATAATAATAAGATTTAAACTTAATCTTATTTTTATACGCCATTTAGTGGCTGAGCATATCTTAAATATTGATTTAAACGTTGTGTCTGGATTTGTTGCATAGAGAACGATGTATTTTGGACTATGTCAGTGGAAAAGAACCTTGAGACACTTTGGGAACCTGGGATATATTATTCGATGACCAAAGCAAAACAGGATGTGCTATATAATATTTTTGGTGACTTTTATACACTCAGCCACGTTGTTTGAGGACGTCGAGTGTACTACTTTCCAACAAAAATTATTATTCCGACCACAAACTACTCCAAAATTACATTCGATCTCGCAAACAACTATCTGCGATAAATTGCATTTAAACTTAAAGTTAAGATACCTTGTTGACCTATTATTACGTCGGTCTAAGGTTAGCTACGCGAATCTCGTGTGGTGCGCCAACTTTTACAATCCCACGGTTACCGGATTGACCCGAAACAACAAAATCCCAGTTTCGGACAGCGGCTGCCAACCCAGTATGTACATGTTTGTGTTTGTCTATTTTTCTGCATTGGGAACAGCATATCCCGGAATGCGTGCTCCGGATTTTATTGGTCCGTGCCGAAATTGAGGAAAACCCGGACCTTAGTTCTGCTCAGTTTGTCAGAACGTCATCCACCACATATCTGTTTCGGTGTGATGTAATGGATGTAAAGAATGGGTGCACTTCAAGAACTGTTCCCGACTAAGGCGTTTGTGAGACTATTATGTTGCGACTTGCTGCAGTAACGTAGTCACCAGCGAGTCCACTTCTTCGACGTCCTCATCAGAGACGTCGTCGGAGTCGGAGCAACCAACACCGCAGCATCCAACGCCACATGTTGCGTTCCAACTCCGGACTGTGCATCAATCTTACCGCCTGATACTAGGTGATTTTAATGCCCAACATGAGTTGTGGCATTCCGTCCTAGGTAATGACCAGAGGGGATCAGCGTTGGTAGAGCAGAGTGACTGCTCCACATTCTGTACGGTTAACGAGGATACCCCCACCCGAAAAAGAGGAGAGTGTCACTGTTCACCAGACTTAACCATGGTGTCACCCGGTCAGATAAATGACTGGATTTGGCAGCCCGTCATTTCTCTTCGCTCAGACCATCTCCCGATAATCCTCTCCATAAGCGATAGGGCGAAGCGAAGAGTATTACGTCGCATCAGATCTCTTCCCGCCGAGGAGGAACCACCAAAAGTACCACAAAAGCATTATACTCTATTTCGACACATATTAGTAGAGGACTCAACCAGAACAAGCCGTGTAGCAGAACAGTGTTGGTAGCCCTTGACCTATCAAAGGCATTTGATACGGTCAATCATGCCGTACTGTTTGAGGACGTGCTCTCTGCACCCTCCGGCTTTGAAACGTTGGATAATCAACTATATGTGTGGACGCCAGTCGTACGTGGGATTTTGGAACAAGAAGTCCAAAGCCCGTAGAGTGAAACAGGGAGTTCCCCAAGGTGAAGTGATATCTCCGAAACTGTTTAACCTTTACCTTTTCGGAAGTCCTCGCCCTCCAGACGGCATGGTGATCGTAGCGTATGCCCAGGGGTCGATGACACATGTGAAAGGTTGAACCCCTACCTCGCGGAGCATGCCGCATACTTCCACGTGAGGAATATATAAATATCTGCCATGAAATCAACGGTCACACTCTTTACCACATGGTCTGCGGAGATGAGAACACGGCTGAATGTGCAGGTCGAAGGGAATTTAAAACCGACCACGGGGTCACATTCGACAGCATGTCCAAGTCGTCCGCACAAGCCACAGCTATCTGCGAAAAGATGAAAAGTAGGAACAAGGTCCTCAAGGCGCTAGCTGGCAGCACTTGGGGTGCGGACAAAGAAACCTTGTTGACCCCTTATAATGCGATAGGTCGGTCTGTGGTCAGCTATGCGACTACAGTGTGGTCTAGTGCTACGCTGTGGAAGCACATCCAGACCTGCCGTAACGCTACCCTGAGAGCTGCGACAGGGTACATCGGGTTCTACGATACCGGATTGACCCGAAACAACAACATCCCAGTTTCGGCCAGCGGCTGCCAACCCAGTATGTACATGTTTGTGTTTGTCTATTTTTCTGCATTGGGAGCAGCATACCCCGGAATGCGTGCTCCGGATTTTATTGGTCCGTGCCGGGATTGAGGAAAACCCCGGACCTTAGTTCTGCTCAGTTTCTCAAAACGTCATCCACCACATATCTGTTTCGGAGTGATGTAATGGATGTAGAGAATAGGTGTACTTCAAGAACTGTTCCCGACTAAGGCGTTTGTGAGACTACAGCGAAAGGGATTATGTTGCGATATGCTGCAGTAACGTAGTCCCCAGCGAGTCCACTTCTTCGTCGTCCTCATCAGAGGCGTCGTCGGAGTATGGAACTCCACCGCAGTCTCCAGAAAAGCAACCAACACCGCAGTATCTAACGCCACATGTTGCGCTCCAACTCCGCACTGTACATTATTCTTGCAATTCAATTGCAGCGGACTCTGAGGCAAAATAGTGGAATTTATGGTTCGGAGGAATATTAAGATCGCAGCGGTTCAGAAAACCAAACTGAATCAAAATTGCAGCCTATAACGTTGTTATAGTTTCAACGTACCAAGGAAGGATCGCACAAGAAATGTATGTGCGATCCTTCCTGTTCAGTACAGACCTACCTCGCCTGAGCTGGTCTCTAGTGACCCATCATGGAATGTATAGGGGTAACAGTAAAGTGTGGAACTGCGAAGTAGAGGTGCTTAATGTGTATATCTCGCCGATTAATAGCTGTGAACCGCGTTATTTGCCTGATATTAGCCCATTGTTGGTAGGCAATAACCGCTTGATACTAGGGGATTTTAATGCCCACCATGAGTTGTGGCATTCCGTCCTAGGTAATGACCAGAGGGGATCAGCGTTGGTAGAGCAGATTGACTGCTCCACATTCTGCATGGTTAACGAGGATACCCCCACCCGAAAAAGAGGAGAATGTCACTGTTCACCAGACTTAACCATAGTGTCACCCGATCAGATAAATGACTGGACTTGGCAGCCCGTCATTTCTCTTCGCTCAGACCATCTCCCGATAATCCTCTCCATAAGCAGGTTTCCCGATTTCATAATCTATGAACGCCGCACTTTCCTTAACCATGGGAAAGCTCTTCAGAGGAAAGCTTCAGAGAACCGCCCAACCCTTCTGAGGTTCGGATAACAGAAAGGATTTTCCGAAACATCATCAAAGCTGCAGCCACTCGCTATATACTTGCTGCTCGAATACCCGAGATAAGACCAAACTTCCCAGCGTGATTAGCAAACGAGCGTGATGACCTCCGTCGTACTAAACCTACTGATCCTAGAATCAGTGATTTGACAGTGAAAGTCAACCGGTTGGTACAGGAGCATAAGAGGAAAAATTGGCTAGACCATTTGAAGTTTTACAACATTGGAACCGATGTGAGTAACCTGTGGTAACGGTTAAGTCACACTCGAACCCTGGAAAAAAGGATGATAGGACCTCAGTCACTTTTAACGTCGTAACGATGACTGATCCGAAGAGGTGTGCGGGGTATTTTAACCGAAAATTTGTCGAGCACCCGAGAGCGATAGGGCGAAGCGAAGAGTATTACGTCGCATCAGATCTCTTCCCGCCGAGGAGGAACCACCACAGTTTACGATGAGTGATGTTGCAATATAGTACCACAACAGCATTATACTCTATTTCGACACATATTAGTAGAGGACTCAACCAGAACAAGCCGTGTGACAGAACAGTTTTGGTCGCCCTTGACCTATCAAAGGCATTTGATACGGTCAATCATGCCATACTGTTTGAGGACGTGCAGAGAACCACCCTCCGGCTTTGAACCGTAACAAGAATAAGAAGTCCAAAGCCCGTAGAGTGAAACAGGGAGTTCCCCAAG